GGGAAATTTGTTAATGCCGCATACGAATCATCGGACTAGGATAAGTCTAGGGTCTAAGTAGCGAGGGCGATGACGACATTGTTTATGTTGACGACATTGTTTATGTGTGCTATGTGTGCTTAAACGAGGAATACGAAGTGAGATTATTAGAATAATATCTCCTACCTCATGGATCTTCAATAAGGGAGATGAAAGGTTCCATGATACTATTCGTCGATTCTTGGTGGGATCGTTGCCCCCGACACTCTTACTATACGATTTTACAAAATATTTACAAAAAACAAAAAATAAAAAATTTCTTTTGCATGTTAAAAAGAACTCTGCATAAAAAAGACTTGAACAACTTTTGCATGAAAACCTTTCTATGAATATTTATAAAGGTCAACGGCTAGTCACTTGGATTGAGGTTAAGGACTGTCTTCTATAGATTGTCGGGCTGGTAACTCTTGTTCAAGATCGTGAAGCACACAGTTCAGCTCTGAGCCCCTCACTTTTACTAATGTCTTACATCCAGTCCTGATCTTTCATATGTGGCTAAGGGTTTCTTTTGCTCGTGATTTTTTTCTAAGGGGTTCTTTTGCTCGTGATTTTTACGACTCATTTTTCTGACTATTCGTGCTGGGTTTTCTCGCATTGTATTTTTCTTGCGAGTTTATTTAAGTCTGTCGCAATTCATACTACGCTCGCAATATTAATCACGCAACAGTAGCAGATGCCCAGGGCGCTTTTACAGTTTATCTACAACATTTTACTTTACTACATTTTATCTTTCAAATACTTTTTATTTAACTGCAATTTGATTATTCTGTTTGCAAAACCAAAACTGAAAACAAAACCGAAACAAAATAAAATCAAACATTGACACTGAATATTGATACCGAAACCGTGAAACATAAATCACCCATCTCAAATACTTAAACCTTAGAGTCATCGCTACAACAGGAGCTTGGAGCCAACTTTGTGGGCAACACGACGAGGAACTTGGATCGAGCGACAAGAGGAACTTCTTCAGCAGTATCTCTTCCTAGCATAATAACAACCCATAAGACTTCGAGGTAATTTGCCCAGCACGACGTAAATCCTCACATCTTCTTTAGGCTTCTATACAACCATGTTGTGCAGCGTAAGTCCTAACTCGCCTTAGGTTCCGAGGTTGTCGTGTGGCACGACGTAAACCCTCTTATCTCTGCGGGTTATTTGCATAATCGAGTATTATATAAATGTAAATCCTAAATAATAAAATTGGTAGGATTGAATAATTAATAACATCATTTTCTAAAAATGCAGCCACACAGTAGGATAGTTTGGGAAGTCACTGAGGGTTCTCCTCAGGATCTGTGGCATCTCCTACCTTTTCTTTTCTTTTGACCCTTGAAAATAATTGTTCCTATTTGAATCACTCCCACTTGCATTTTTCACGTTCTACCGTGAAAACCTAAACTTTGAAATATTGAAAACTAGTACCTCTGATCATTATCGAGAGTTTTCTACAATGACTCCAGTCATTTGAGATGTAATTGACTATATGAGTTTGTCTCTATAGGGAACTTGGAACCCAGGTAAAATAAACCTTATTTAATCTTTGTATTAGATAGGGGAACTTGTCGGTCATACATAAAAAGGTTTGCAGACCAAACGGATGTCACAAATCTCTTAATTTGCAGGATTGGGTCTATCGCCAAGGTCTACACTTATCTTTCGGGAGGGTGTAGTATTCGCGGTATCGGGCACGATTATGCAAACTATTGGACGAATGAGATCCATTTGGTCTCATTTTTCGAAAATTAAAATATACTACTTTCAAAACCCAAACTATATATCTCTTATATTAAATTAAATTTCAAAAATTATTTTCATATTTTCAAAATAATCAACCCTTTTATTTCTCTAGCAGTTCTAATTATCTTTCCCGAGTTCCGGTCCTGAAAAACAAAATTGGAAGGAGAGAAAAAAATGAAATAATCAGAATCCTTAGACAATTTCCTAACAGAAAGAAGATTATATGTAAGTTTTGGAATATGTAAGATAGATTTCAAAGAGTTTTTTTTCTAAAATTTTAATATTTCTTTTTTCTGCAATAGGTGAAAAACTGTCATCAGTAATTCTGATTTTTTTTTAACCGGAACATGGATAATATGAATCAAATAATTGAGAACAGTTTGTCATATGATTAGAGGCTCCTGAATCAATGTTCCAAGGAGTGGTACTTCCTAGAAAAGTCCAAGGATTACTACCTGTTTGTGCTATAGAACTGATAGCAGCATTAGATGATGAGCAAGATTTCAATAGTTTAAGAATATGACTTAATTGCTCTTTACTAAGTGGAGATGACTCAGCTTCATTAGGGTTTAGTGTAGGTGTGTTATATTCACCAGATCTTTTTCCCTTATCACCATTAGGTGGTTTACCATACAATTTTCAGCAATTTTCGCGAGTATGGCGTGGCTTTCCACTGTAGTCACAGTGCATGTTGTTTTTGTCTTCTGCATGCTGGTTTTGAGAAATTTTCCTGCTTACTTGAGCTTCAGGAATAGCCAGCGCTGATCCTTCCACGGACTCGGTTAAACCTGTAGTCTTCTCCCTACATCACATGCCTCTGACTCTCTTCTCTCCTTACCTCCGCAAAAATTTACCAATTGGAGGCAGGGGATTTCTACTAATTATTCGGTCATGGACCTCATCATATTCAACGTTTAGACCTGCAAGAAATTTGAAGATTTGACTAGTATCCACTATCTTCTTGTACTAGTTGTCGTCATAGTTTGATTTTCACTCATGATCTTTGAATAAGTCCAGGTCCTGCCAAATCCGCTTAAGAGAATTGAAATACTTTGTCACAGAATCCTCTCATTGGAAAATTTTTCAAGTCGTAGGGTCAACTCATAAACTTGTGATTGATTTCCAAGATCATAATACATTTCTGAAATATTGTCTCATAATTCGTTGGTTGTAGAGTAACACGGATAATTTGCACTTATCTCTTCAATCATGGAATTGACCAACCATGCATTAACATTGAATTTTCCGCTTCCCAAATGACATAAGTTATGTCTTTCACGTCAGGTTGTTTAGTATCACCTGTGATACAACCAATTTTTCATCTTTCTCGGAGATACATGCGAACAGCTGTGACCATCGAAGAAAATTATCACCGTTTAGTCAGATTGTAGTGATCTGAATGGGATGGTTTTCATATGTATTTCTCTGAGGTTCGGATTGACATGACTGAAGAGGTTGGCTTGTCCTAGACGTGACTTCAGACATTTTAGAGATGAAGGATGGTGAATTTGCTCGAGCTCGAGATTCTCCCACCAAAGCAAAAGATTACCGCCTTCGCCCGCCGAAGCAAAGAAGATTACCGTCTTCGCCACCGAAAGGACTTTGAGATGCGGAATAGCTTCGTTAACCACGCGCGTGATCCTTGCCAGCGAGACGTGATCCTTTCTCAGTGGAAGATGCTACTGCGGGTTTCTACCTTCAAAGAATTACCGCCTTCGCGATACGGGAAGAAAGGAAAAACGTAACACGTACAGAGGATTACCACCTTCGAGATGAACTTCGAGATGCGGACGACGTGTAGTCGCCGTAAGTTACCGCCTTCAAAGAATTATCGCCTTCGCGAGACGCCACAGAGGATCGGACGCTCTGGTACCATGAAAAAACAGTGAAAAAATATAAGAGTGGCTTATTCTTATTGATGCAAAGAGAGGTATAAATACTCATTACAGGACTTAGTGGTAAGGAAAGCAATAAAAACATAATATAGTAGACAAGGAAAAAAATAATAACAAATATAAGAGGCAACTAATCTCTCTAATTAAGGAGAAAAATAAATAGAGATTCCTAAGATTCCTCATACAATTTATAACTCTTTAAATATAAAGTTGTAACAAATATGGAATATAATTATCATTATTTACGAGATATTTTAACAAGAACATATAATACCCCTGGCCATAATCAGCTGCTTGTGCAGTCACGTATTGTGTGTCAGAACCTTTAGATTGCTTCAATATTGATGACAGGTTGATGAACATCAGAACTTAGTTGATTGCTGGACTCATGTTGTTTGCTGTGATTATTGTTTTCGTTCTTATAGTGCAAAATTTTAATTGGTAGTGTATCTGCTAAGTCTTAGGTTTGTAACTTGTAGAAAAAACATTGCTTGAGAAATGACAGTGAATATTAAATTACACGCCAAATTGCATAGTTGTGTGATGTTCTATATTCCCATTTAAGTCACCTTCAATCACTTTATGTAAATTTTTTAAACTCGCTTTTGATCAAATTTGAAGAGCGTAAATATTGCTTATATTTATAATGTACTCATTGGCACTCATCTTAATAGCAATATTACTCCATCACTAACCCTATTCACTTCATTAAATTTTTATTTCAATTATACATTCATTACTATCTCAATCTCATCTCTATTGTAAATTTCCCAACTTATAATAACTTATAACCTTCAATTTTCCATTTATTTTGATATGAAAAAGTAATATTTATTCTTTTTTTTATCATTTTATTCACCCAGTCTCTTAGCCTCTCATTCAAAGTCTCCAAAATTCATTCTTCGAATCAAATGATAGCGAAGATCAGTTAATTTAAACAAGAATTTCTTTTGCTTATAAATTTGCAATTTTTGTATTTGATGGAACCTGGGAGCCAAGGGCTCTACCCATTGAGGATGACCATGGATCTGATCTGGTTGCAAAAATCAGTTTTATCGTAAAAATTTTTAGAAAGTAGCAAGAAAACAATTTCCTAAACAAAACTGTGGTGGCAAGTTGAAACAAAAAACATGCAGCGAGCTGTCTCAAATTGATACGTGGAGTTTGTTTTAAGTGTAATACACTGTAACATTATCTGCTTGATTGTCCCAAAATGGGAACAATTCTGCATTTAGTTATCTCAGCTCTTTTCTTTGGACTCTAATTTTATTGATTTAATACTGAATCTTCTGATCATCTGATGCAACTTTTTGTCTCGTTCTTCAGGTTGCGACGGTGCTCCATTTCTTCCACTGCTTTTCATACTAACAAACATGGCTTTCAACATTTCTTTGCTTAATCTAGTGAAAATGTCTTCTGCTCTGCTTTCATCACTTGCAGCCACTTTAGCAGGTCTCTCCCTTCCCCATTTACCTTCCGGGCATTGACATTACATACCACACAATTCTTATATATTTACATGTCACTTTAATATTTACAGTCATAACACTCAAATCTTTAACATCACATAAAAAATATCACTTTACCAACTTTTTGAAAGTCAAATGCACCTTTTTCCAAATAGGATTATAGCACCAAGGTATTATAAATGTAAAAATTAGACTTTATGTTTTGGATATGTAATTTTCCCATTACCTTTTTACTCGAATGGGATTAACCATGCTGACATTATTGAGCATATGAAATTTTGCATTTACAGGTTTTGAGGAATTATGGTGTCTGAATTTGATTTTAATCTCTTACATGCAGTGCCTCTTTCAATCTACATCCTCTCGCTTCCATTCCCTTACATGCCTGAAGGCACAAATTTGAATGCATATTTCGTCATCGGAACTGCGATTCTCGTGTTGGGTTTGACACTTTATAATCTTCCCAAACCAGACAACCAGCCCCATAAAAATGATTGAAGATTTCATTTATCCTCCTCAAATTCCTCCCAGCAATTGCAGGATGCCTTCATCTTTAGCTTTGAGCTGCTGGTTATGTTGGTTTATATTTTTAGAATGGCGAGTCCCAATGCCCAAGTCTCATTCATTTTGATTAGATGTAAATGTTAACTGTCAGAAAGCCTCATATTAGTTTGATTCTTTGCATGATGATAGGCTATTTTAGTCCCAGAGTCTATACAAGTATTAATTTAGTCCTAGACTCTTTTAATCTTCGCCGAGGACTATTCCAGCCTAATTTAAAGATTTGTGTTGAACTTGTAAATTTAGTGAAAATGTTATGAGTAGCAGGTCCCCATTTGTAAGATTTTGGGAGAAATATCTAATAATCCTTTTTATTAACTTTTTTTGTGTAATTCAGGAATGATTTAGTGTTATTATTGTGTAGGAGCTTCGGCTTGGTGCGCATCAGGCGTTATTCATGTGGATCTCATTGTAAAGGAGAACTTTTAAAAAGGAGCAACTAATATATGGTTTTTTGGGGGTGGAGCACGACCAAAAAAAAAATGCAGAAACGCCCCTCTTAGGGGCGTTTTCTATATAATATTTATTATAAAAATAAAATTTATAATGTATAATATTATATATTATTATTTAATATATTATATATAATATTATTATTAAAAATGAATTATAAATTTATATTATTTTAGTTATTTTTTAGATAATTTCAATTAATTAAAAAATATACATGAACATGATGAATAAACTAATAATAAATGAAATTCAAAAAAATTATTTTGCAATAAAATACCATCGTAACATAATGTACTGAGAATACAATTATCTTCTCCGCCGGTGTGGAATGGCTTCTAAACTCGTTGAATATTGTGAAGACAGTAGTGGTTGATCTCACACTGCACTTGCCTCTCCTTGAGACACTGCACTTGCCACTCTTGTGCCACTAGAAAATGGCTCATTAAATGTGCCACAAGGAGACTGGGAACAAAAACTGGCTCATTATTTGTAATGATGTCGATATTGGGCATTACTCTACTTAGTGAAACACCCTACTCAGCCATCAGATACCCATTACCCCCAATTACCTCAAAAAAGAATACTAGTATGTGTTTACTATATTTTATAGCCACTAATAATTACTTTTATTATAATACATAACAATAAATTTAATTCTTCAATTATACAGACAAATTACTTCATTCGTAGCAAAGATTTTGAAGAAAAGTTTGGAGGGGAAGGTGGTGGATGTGCTAGCTCCATGAAATAAAAATATGATGAGGTCCTGGAGCTATCACGTAGAGTAAAACAATTCATCTATATCGATTATACCGCATTTGATTAGCCAAGTAGGCATAATTTCGAAGCAGGGTCATTTCATAGAACATATGTCGCATTTGATTAGCCAAGTAGGCATAATTTCGAAGCTGGGTCATTTCCAAACGCTAGACCGTCTAGCCTAGGTAGATCACTTCCGATGCTCCACATCGGTCAGATTCCACTACTGCGAGAAGATCAGTAGCAGATGCTCCAAGAGGATCTTCAGTTTCCAAAATAGTCCCTTAAATGAGTCCCACGAATAAGAATATCCACAATTATCTACTTATCTTGGCCAATTAACATTTGCAGGCCCCACTAACTATGCATGACCCTTTAATTACCCTATGAATATGCAGGACCCACCAACATACGAGGTTTCGCCATATATTTACAATAGACAACATCTACTTGAGGGGCTCTGGATTTAAATTTTCAAAACATTCCCATGTCTACGACTACAACTGATGGAGAGCTATTTTTCGGCACAATTCCAGTTTATGCACCACCAGTACGCATGAATGAAGAGAAATTATTATGTGCCCCAACAATCTACGAATGACACAACTGAAGATGATGCTGAAGAAAAATTTCAAGACCACTAGTTGCAAGATCAACCCTTTAGGCCGCCTTCACGATATTTACAGGGAAGAAAATTGTATTATGAAAACATTATGTTGTGATAATTATTACAAAATATTTTTTTTTTATTCCATTTATTGTTAGTTTATTCATTATGTTCATTATGTTCATGTATATTTTTAATTAATTAGAAATTATCTAAAAAATAATACAATATAAATTTGTAATTTTTTTAATAATAATATTATATATAATATTTTATATTATAAAATTAATTTGGGGGCATTTCTGCCCCTTAAAAAAAAAAAATTTTTCCCGTACACCCCATAAAACATATATTAGGTGCTCCTTTTTAAAATCTCTCCCATTATAAATTAATGCTTACAATATGTTTATTGAATATTTAGTAGATGTTATGCATCACACATTCAATCATGACTGTCATTTTCAATTTTGTGTTTTGTATTAATCCTTTAATTTTGAAATGATCATATGATAGCTTTACATGTTTATTTAGAAAGAGGACTTGTCTCTTGTTTTGGTTAATTAAAAGCTAAGGATTTCACATGAGTTCAAAATAAAACCTTTTTCAAACTAAGAATCATAGTCAGACTCAAAGCACTTAAAATATAGAAATTATGAAATCTATAGCCTCTGCTTTGTGTGCTGTGATTTTTTACTAACAATGTGTTGTATTGGTTGCTTGCTTTAGCTATTTATAGGACTTCTCATTACATGTGTTTGTTGCGACCTCTTTCTGTTTGTATAGAAATTTTAGTTTTAGAGCCATCATCAAAATCTTATTTGAGAAGTGAGAAAGCTATAACCATGTTATTTTTACTAAGATGATGTAATTTTATAAGTCATCAAACTCATCTTTTAATTCAATAATATAGCACAATGTTTTTGAAAAATATTCTTACATTGAACAATAATTAAGATATTTATAACCAAATTCATTACAACATTTCCCTGCAGCCTTTGTGGTCGACTGATGATCTTGGAGTGACTTGCTATAACGTATATAGCTAATTACTAGGGTAGCTTCCCGTTGCGGCCTATATGGTCTAACTATTGTCATTTCAACCTTCCACTAGGCTTCTGTGGCCAACCAATGCTCTTACAGCTAGGGTTGTAATCAAGCCGAGTATATCATTGTTTGGACGGCTTGGTATGATTATAAGTTGTTCATGTTTAGTTCATTTGGGCTATTATCGAGCTTAATATCAATTATTTAACAAGTTACTTGTTGAACAACAAACAAGTTTGCTCGTGAATATAAATGAACAAGTTCGACTATGTTCATGTTTAGCTCATTTAAGCTTCGAGCTTTTATAAATTGTTGAAGTTTATTTATTTACTAATTTGAACAAACATGTTCGAGTTTTAATTATTGTGGGAACTAAGTACGACTATTACAACTCGCTATTAATATTATCATCAACAATTACATTTGTTGTAGCCCAATTGCAGCTATTGAAGTTGGATAATTATTGTGCACATGTAATTATCAGCATTGCAATTCTGTATTCTCTAATTCAAAAGAAGTTTGTACCAATTTATGTACAATCATATAACGGATTACTTTGACTGAGTCAAACACAGTAGTCTTTTCCCTTCTAGGATTTTTCTCATGTAAAAAATCTTGGTGGCTTTTCCTACAACTTTTCTATTATTTGTTTATGTGATGAATTTTCATACAATGTTGAGCAATTAAATTATCATTTTACCGTCACAAATCTTACATATAACAAATTTGAATGCAGAGCATGCAAATAAAATTAAAAAAAAATTAGTGGTATTTGTTAGAAGTGGAGCCCAGTCCGACCCATCTCTTCCGCTCCTGCGATCGCGAATCGCGATCTCCCGCGAACCGCCGCTCCCGCTACATATCTCCCGCTCCCACCTCCTCTATTTCGCGAATCGTCACGACTCTTCACGCTCCCGCTCACGCGAACTGTTCCCGCCCTTTGTCGTTTCGTGAATGTCGCGCTTTTGGTTCGCGATTAAAGAGAGGTGCAAGGCTCTCCTTTTGAAGAGAAGTCACGGTGTT